GAGATAGAGGGAGAATGAATAAGCGATAAACACATATACAATGTATGATTCGAGCAACACTGCCCACAATATTACAAGCTAAATGCATTTAGAACACGGTTAACCAGACCACATCCAACATCGGCGTGTGCATCTTGATTACAAAACTGATCCCTGGGCACCGATATCTCCGACACCACCACTCACTGCACGGCTGAGATGTTTGTCTGTTTTGTTTTAATGTTTTAGTGGACGACAGCTTGATATCTAATAGCTCTTTAAAAAAAATTCAGAATGAAGCCGTGGTTGTCCACTGTAATTAGTTATCTGCAGGTCTAAGTCACCAGCTATGCCTTCGCAACAATAATTTATTCTACTGGATTAGTACCGATTTATCTTGTTACGGTTAGTAGACTAAAATGTAAGCTGGAAAGCTTAGACAAACTTTCAGTCTCCAGGTTTGCTTGTGAAACCTGATCTAATTTATCTTCATAATAATAATGAAGTTATGATTATTATTATAATGAAGTTATAATAATAATAATAATAATAATAATAATAATCACCTTTGTCAAACCTAGCACATTTCTTACAAAGGCCAATGACCAAGCAGTTACATAAGTAGATATTTACTGTTCATACTTATATACAAATTATGCCATATAACCAGTGGAAGCAACTTTAATGCGTAAATGCAGCTTTGTTCCTGTTCTTAACTTGTCACTCCAATCGTAGAGTTGACGTATAATAAATAAGGAAAAACAACACAAAGAGCTCATTTGTTAACCGCAATTTATAAACGATAAGAATAATGAAGGTATTCGAAAATTCCTGCAGGAATAGGCATTGCTATACGAACACATGCATATTAATGCAAATGAATTATCACGATATATATCTCGTTATTTCCCTGAACGTTTAAGCGTAATTAACTACAAAAGTCATGCCCGTTATCAACGTGTCGAAATCATATTAATGATTCAAGGATTCTTACATGTACATGTATGTATTCAGTATAAATGAGACGCTGAAGGTGGCTTTATAATAAAGTAATCATAATAAATAATGAGAGAGAGAGAGAGAGAGAGAGAGAGAGAGAGAGAATTCAGAGTGTCTAAAGAATGTTATAAAAGATTTAAAAAAAAACACGACACCGGTACTTTGTTATGAATTATGATAAGATGTTGGCGCCTAATGGCTTTTTAACGAGTAACAATACCAGTCGTGTCCTAGACGATGAGCTATCATGCTGTAAAGAACGCATAGAAATAAAATATGTGGCGAAACGGTCACATGGGATTTTTTTTTTACAAAATATTTACCTTAATGTTTATCAGTAGTGTACAATACATGTCAGTTATCTTATCTCAAGATAAACTGTCACAGAGCGGTAGGTGAGAAATCCTGCAAACATTAAATCAGGCGTGCCCCTTGTCATTTTAGCAAATTATCAGGATTTTTTTTCATTTAATTCCTTTATTCGAGATAATGCTTATGTGTATTCATAAGGCATGACGAGTTATCACAATGAATTAAATAAATATAATTCCTGTTGCGGTTTTAATTCTATACTAATGAACCTAGCGTTCGTGCCCGGCGTTCGTGGTGACGATATCGTTACATCTTTATCATGTCACGTATACAGCTTGAAGGAAATATACATACACAGCGCGGCGTAACAGCGTCCAGATAATTTTTTACTGAACAAATTCATTTGTATAAGGTATTTAAAAGAGCTGGAGCCCAGTTGGGCATCTCCATCGTCCGCCTCCACACAGAGTTTTTTCTGCTACTCGGCCATTTAAAAAAAATCCTTAATGAACCAAGCCATTTAACGGACTACGTCATAAAACCGAAACCAGGCCAAGATTAATATGCTAAATATAATGAACTTGAGTCACGTAATGGTTACCAATTACCAATGTCACTTAATTTAGAATCCAAATATTAGCATCATTTGCATGGAAAAAAGGGTCAGCAAAAATTTTTAAAACAGCCAGTGCAAAAAGGCTGCATTGTATTTTATCAGATTTTTTAAACCTCTAATTTTTAAAACTCTAACAACATTTCCCACTCTGATGAACCATGTTATTAACATTGGGGGGGGGGGGGTATATACAGGGAGAGGGGTGGGGAGAGGAGAGGTGGGAATACAGCAAGACAATAAAGGTGGCTTTGCTAGGCTCAGAATACCTTACCATCCCCTCTCAAAGATGGCACGGGGGGGGGGGGGTAGTTGGTGAGGAGAGAGAGAGAGAGAGAGAGAGAGAGAGAGAGCAATTTCATTTGGACCCCCAAACTTAGAATGCAGGGGACGGGGTGGAGGGGGGGGGGAGAGGAGAGACAACAAATTAATATTGTTGAATGAGGATTAAATAATTTGATAACAAGACGAAATAAACTTAATGCCGTTCAAACCATCTGCAGCTTAATTTTCGGGAGGAGGGCAAAGACTTTGGTAATGCTTCCGCCACTACTTCAACAAAATGTGCCCAGTGTGTATATCTATTTATAACATTGATTTCATAAAGCAGACAATGCGCAATTATAAAGTCACGAATTCACAGTGGGAAGTCAAAATTATGAATTCATCTTTACAAAATGATATTAATTTTTGAGTTGGGGAAGCGTGAAATTGCACGGTGCTCCGTGTAATCTACAAGGCATCCCCGTCTGGTCCTTTCATTTAATATGAGTAATTGTGCCAACCTTTGGTAATCAAGAGTTCATCTTCGTTGCTCTGAATAGGCAGACTGTCTACAGCATGGAGATAATGCAGGAATGCTCTCCGTTACCCGTGAGAGTGTCTGGTACTCTGCATTTCTCCCAGGGTTTGCGAAAAGTTTGACTAAAGAATGTTGCGTTTTAACTGAGTGGTGGATTTATTGAATACAAATACTGAACAGAGTTGTAAAATTAAGGCATATTTTTTACAGTTCAAGTCCTACTACTCGTTTTGGAAATTAATTTTCTTGTCTACTGCCGTGTCTTTTTATGTTGGTAACAGATAAAGCAAAAAGGCAATTTGAAAACCTAAATAAATTAAAAGACATTAAAGAACTGGTAAAAATTGCATTTGCACACAAGATGAAAGGAGCTACAATCACAGCCCGCCCACAGATATGACGTTGGAGATATTACACGCATTTTTTCAAAATAAAAATTACAGTCCAAGATTAATGTTTTTTTTTCAAGCAAGAATTGAATGGTGTTAAAATGTGCTTAAATGACGACCCAGTCAAATCCAAGATATAAAACAACTTCTTTTACGGGTAAGAAAAGTGAGAAAACTTCCTACCATCATTTAACTCACCTTGGATCTAATAACATGTTGTTTTTATAACGGCAAACATTGTGATTTATATCTAAATAACAGAGGCCAATTCAATTATGCGTGCAATGCGTATTGGAAAGTTAATGAAATACGGCGGCTGAAATCATTATCATAATTTAGTATTATAAGCTGACACGACAGTTTTGAAATGTCATCAGCGAACATCTTATAATTCTATTACCATTTATGAAGCACTTTACCTTAATAAGATATGGCATAAATTACAACCAGGTCATGCTGGGGATAAAGAATCAAATTCTGCATGTTCAAAAAAGGACGGAAAATATTGAAAAAAATAATGGAAAAAATAGAGTCAAAGTACCTTAGTATGGCGTTAGATGCCAACAGTTTCATTGAAATCTTTTCGCTGATAGATTAAAATCTTGATTCCTAAGTTCCAAATTCAAGAGGCCAATCTTTCCCGAAATAAATAAATAAATAAATAAATAAATAAATGGATATACAGTGTTTCAGTCGTACCAAATAGTCCAAATTGTTGAATTTAAGGGTCTTGTCCATTCTCCGGTTGCTTTATAAAAGGAAGAGAACGCTGCTTACCTCAACCCCCTGTTACACCTGGCTTGCGACCGCCTGGAGAACAAATCTTGTCCCTCTCACTTAAATAGATAACAAAATATAGACAAATAAAGCACTTAAATGTTTGAAGTTTATAAACAATGATGTATGATAAATTGCCAAAACTTTAAATACATGTAAGTGAGAGTAGGGAGAAAAGCATTCTCCACAGAATCGCAAGCCCCGTGTAACGGGAATTTCCTTAATGTCTCACCACAGATTTATCATGAATGGAATGAGACCGGAAATTACGTCATTAAAGTTTCATCCAGCTTCCGGTTTATAATTTGTGATACACTGGTGGTATTTGTTGTTACGTTCCAGGTGAACCTGATGATACTCAGGGTGCGGACGGCTCCATGTACAGTCCGCAGATCAACCAGTATCAGCAGCACATGTACATGTTGATGCAGCAACAACAGCAGAGACAGCAGGAAAGACAGCAGCAACAGCTTCAGCGAGAACAATTGTTACAGGAACAGAAACAGAAGCAAAGACAAAAGCAGGAACAACAGCAGCAGCAACGCCAGCAGGTGGTTGTCCAGCAGCAGCCATCACCCAAGCTGCCAGTTCAGCAGTACGCGTCTGTGAGGCAAAACAAGGATTACGCCAACTCACCGCCACAGGGCGGTGACAGATACCTTGTGATACGGCCGCCACCTAACCAACAACAGCTGCTGACTCCACAACAACAGCAGCAGCAATTGCAGCAGCAACAATGGCAACAGCAACAAGAGCAGCAGCAGCAGTTGGAACAGCAGGAGCAACAACAGGAACAACTGAAACAACGGCAATTGTTGAAACAGCAACAGAGACTGTATATTCAGCAGCAGTCCCAACAACAACAACAACAACAGCAGCAAGAACAGCCGGAACAGACCCAACAATATCTCCAACAGGGGCCTCCAGCTGCGTACACCCGCAATCAAGACGAACATAATCAACTACTTCTATCACGCCTGGTTCAGGGCTTCCAGGAACAACTCAGAAAAGAGAAGGAAAAGCAGCAGGAAATGCTGGAACAGATCAAACAGCACCAACAGCAACAGCAGCAGCAACAACAGAGACAACTTCAGCAGCTGGTAGAGCAGCAGCAACTGCAGCAAAAGCAACAACAGCAACAGCAACAGGAGCTACAACGGGAGCAGCATTACAATCAAAAACACCAGCAATACAACAGAGGCGGATCTAATGCTATCCCAGCCTCGGGTACGGCTAGCCTGTACCAGCCTTTCATTCTAAACCAAGGTACCGATCACTCTCCGGAGCAACCAGGCGAACCCGTCCCGTCTGTGCAGCAGGAAGTGACGTATGAGCAGCACCCACGACAGGAAGTTAAGTACGTGCAGGTGCCCCAGGAAGTGACGTACGTACAATACGTACCACCGCCAATCTCGGCGCCGGAGCAAGTAGCCCCTGTTGAACCACGGAAAGAGCCAAAATTACCTTACTCTGGAAACACCGTGAAGGACTTGCCAGCAATGAGGACGCCATTGGCAGGGTCATTAGCATCTAAAGGTATGTTATACCCAATTAACAAGTTCGTGCAACACTGCTTTTACAAGGGGATCTTGACTTTATAGATATTATTTTTTTAAGATCGGAAATAGGATTAAATGGTATAAACATACAGCCAAAATTTTCAACCATGATTTAAAAAACCTGTCTTAATGGATGATGGATAGTAGATATTACATTTGTAATTTTCATAAGTTTTCTAACTTGTGGAATTATAGCGAATTTAACAATTTTTCATTTAGTTTGGTAATTTTCTTATACATAGTCACCGTTAATGTTAGCAGTTTTTCTTTTTGTTTAGTAATAACTTTAGTTTTAGACAAAGTTAACATTTTTCCCTTTAATAACTATTTTGTTCAATAACACATATAGAAAGTAATCTCATGGATAAGAATCCGATTTCAGATCGTCTGCAACGTTCTTTGGTATGCCCCGCCCCTTTTGCCTCATTCTGTCACTCAACAAACCCCACGATCTATTACGCATGCGTATGGGGACGTCCGGTCCCGAATACGGTGCCAGAAGGCACCCACTGCGTCATGCGAAACGGAGGGGTAGAATTCGTGTACGCATATGACAGCAGTCGTAAGTTTGCCTAACAGTCTGTCCGGAGATCTGGCATATCAATGCGTAAGCGGTGATTATTACAAAAAATCCTACGCGCTTGCACAAAATAGTCCGCGACGTGTGTTTCGCGCCATATTTTGCAAAATCCATATCTGTTATGAAAATCCAGGAAACTCTGTGAATAGCCCATTATTCCGCTTGAAACTTTCAAAAAATAAAATTTAGAACTTGATGTAAACGCACAATGTAAAATGAACATTTCATTTCCGTGGAAAAATTTGTATCAGCTGTCTAAAAATAGCACACGCGTTTTTCCCAAGCTGACCTTGGAATTTTTTACCCAAAAATGAAATGATTGCAGAAAAAATGGACAAACCTAATTTTCTGATTTTATAATGATTTATGAAACTATATATGCTCAAATTACACCACGAAGAATCATTNAAGTGGTAGATTTATTGAATACAAATACTGAACAGAGTTGTAAAATTGAGACATATTTTTTACAGTTCAAGTCCAACTACTCGTTTTGGCAATTCATTTTCTTGTCTACTGCCGTGTCTTTTTATGTTGGTAACAGATAAAGCAAAAAGGCAATTTGAAAACCTAAATAAATTAAATACATTAAAGAACTGGAAATATTTGCACACAAGATGAAAGGAACTACAATCACAGCCCACTGATATGAAATTCAAGATATTACACGCATTTTTCAAAAATGCAATCTAAGATTATTGACATTTTTAATTTTTCAAGAAAAAATTGAATTGTGGTAAAATGTGCTTAAATGACAACCCAATCAAATCCAAGATATAAAACAACTTCTTTTACGGGTAAGAAAAGTGAGAAAACTTCCTACCATCATTTAACTCACCTTGGATCTAATAACATGTTGTTTTTATAACGGCAAACATTGTGATTTATATCTGAATAACAGAGGCCAATTCAATTATGCGTGCAACGCGTATTGGAAAGTTAATGAAATACGGCGGCTGAAATCATTATCATAATTTAGTGTTATAAGCTGACACGACAGTTTTGAAATGTCATCAGCGAACATCTTATAATTCTATTACCATTTATGAAGCACTTTACCTTAATAAGATATGGCATAAATTACAACCAGGTCATGCTGGGGATAAAGAATCAAATTCTGCATGTTCAAAAATGGACGGAAAATATTGAAAAAAATAATGGAAAAAATAGAGTCAAAGTACCTTAGTATGGCGTTAGATGCCAACAGTTTCATTGAAATCTTTTCGCTGATAGATTAAAATCTTGATTCCTAAGTTCCAAATTCAAGAGGCCAATCTTTCCCGAAATAAATAAATAAATAAATAAATAAATAAATAAATAAATAAATAAATGGATATACAGTGTTTCAGTCGTACCTTATAGTCCAAATTGTTGAATTTAAGGGTCTTGTCCATACTCCGGTTGCTTTATAAAAGGAAGAGAACGCTGCTTACCTCAACCCCCTGTTACACCTGGCTTGCGACCGCCTGGAGAACAAACCTTGTCCCTCTCACTTAAATAGATAACAAAATATAGACAAATAAAGCACTTAAATGTTTGAAGTTTATAAACAATGATGTATGATAAATTGCCAAAACTTTAAATACATGTAAGTGAGAGTAGGGAGAAAAGCATTCTCCACAGAGTCGCAAGCCCCGTGTAACGGGAATTTTCCTTAATGTCTCACCACAGATTTATCATGAATGGAATGAGACCGGCAATTACGTCATTAAAGTTTCATCCAACTTCCGGTTTATAATTTGTGATACACTGGTGGTATTTGTTGTTACGTTCCAGGTGAACCTGATGATACTCAGGGTGCGGACGGCTCCATGTACAGCCCGCAGATCAACCAGTATCAGCAGCACATGTACATGTTGATGCAGCAACAACAGCAGAGACAGCAGGAAAGACAGCAGCAACAGCTTCAGCGAGAACAATTGTTACAGGAACAGAAACAGAAGCAAAGACAAAAGCAGGAACAACAGCAGCAGCAACGCCAGCAGGTGGTTGTCCAGCAGCAGCCATCACCCAAGCTGCCAGTTCAGCAGTACGCGTCTGTGAGGCAAAACAAGGATTACGCCAACTCACCGCCACAGGGCGGTGACAGATACCTTGTGATACGGCCGCCACCTAACCAACAACAGCTGCTGACTCCACAACAACAGCAGCAGCAATTGCAGCAGCAACAATGGAAACAGCAACAGGAACAGCAGCAGCAGTTGGAACAACAGGAGCAACAGCAGGAACAATTGAAACAACGGCAATTGCTGAAACAGCAACAGCGTCTGTATATGCAGCAGCAGTCTCAACAACAACAACAACAACAACAACAACAACAACAACAACAACAACAACAACAACAGCAACAAGAACAGCCGGAACAGACCCAACAATATCTCCAACAGGGGCCTCCGGCTGCGTACACCCGCAATCAAGACGAACATAATCAACTACTTCTATCACGCCTGGTTCAGGGCTTCCAGGAACAACTCAGAAAAGAGAAGGAAAAACAGCAGGAAATGCTGGAACAGATCAAACAGCACCAACAACAACAGCAACAGCAGCAACAGCGACAGCTTCAGCAGTTGGTAGAGCAGCAGCAACTGCAGCAAAAGCAACAACAGCAACAGCAACAGGAGCTACAACGGGAGCAGCATTACAATCAAAAACATCAGCAATACAACAGAGGCGGATCTAATGCTATCCCAGCTTCGGGTACGGCTAGCCTGTACCAACCTTTCATTCTAAACCAAGGTACCGATCACTCTCCGGAGCAACCAGGCGAACCCGCCCCGTCTGTGCAGCAGGAAGTGACGTATGAGCAGCACCCACGACAGGAAGTAAAGTACGTGCAGGTGCCCCAGGAAGTGACGTATGTACAATACGTACCACCACCAATCTCGGCGCCGGAGCAAGTAGCCCCTGTTGAACCACGTCAAGAGCCAAAATTACCTTACTCTGGAAACACCGTGAAGGACTTGCCCGCTATGAGGACGCCATTGGCAGGGTCATTAGCATCTAAAGGTATGTTATACCCAATTAACAAGCTCGTGCAGGGCTGATTTTACGAGCGGTTCTTGACTTAATAGATATTAATATTTAAGATTGGAAATCGGATTAAATGGTATAAACATACAGCCAATTTTTCAACCATGATTAAAAAAGCCTGTCTTAATGGATGATGGATAGTAGATATTACATTTGTAATTTTCATAAGTTTTCTAACTTTTAGAATTATAGCGAATTTAACGATTTTTCATTTAGTTTGGTAATTTTCTTAAACATAGACACCATTAACGTTAGCAGTTTTTCTTTTTGTTAAGAAATAACTTTAGTTTTAGACACAGTTAACTTTTTTTCCTTTAAAAACTATTTCGTTTCAATAACACATATAGAAACAAATCTCATGGATAAGAATCCGATTTCAGATCGTCTGCAACGTTCTTTGGCATGCCCCGCCCCTTTCGCCTCATTCTGTCACTCAACAAACCCCACGATCTATTACGCATGCGTATGGGGACGTCCGGTCCCGAACACGGTGCCAGAAGGCACCCACTGCGTCATGCGAAACGGAGGGGTAGAATTCGTGTACGCGTATGACAGCAGTCGTAAGTTTGCCTACCGTTAACCTCCAATAATCGTGTGACGCCACGCACTGTGACGTCACTCCGTCGTATTAATTAGCCTCCCACTGTGCTAAGCTTATATATGCAAACCTTGCGCTTTATTTTTTGTCCCACTATTTACACGGCTATATTTGTACCTAAACATGAAATGTCAAGTAAGGTGCAACCGTGCTATACACACGGTTTATGACATCCTCTCAAAAATTTCTTTGAAAATTTCGTTTCTGACAATTTTCGTCAGTAAAGGCTTTTTTAATGTTCCTGCTTATGGTTCTATGCTAACAGGGTGTCTGCTTTGATGAAGAAATTAATCACAATAAAACCAGCTGCCCTATCTCTATTGCATACAAAATTGACCTTAGGTGCCGCTGATTCAATCCCCATTAAAAACCTATAGTAGCGATTACCGTTATCCTGAGACCACTGCATGGTTGTACACCAATTAGCATAATTTCGAAACTGGGTTCAAGTGCATCTCCAGCGTTCCGTGATGAACACATTGCGTAACGTCTAGGTAGCCGTGTAGTCAGTTCCAAAGTAGAGACCAAATTTATGAGTAAGTGATACACATCTATCTGATCATTTTATCGTTCGTTCTGTCCCATGCGTTATGTGAATTATGTACATAGAAGTATATATATATTGATGCACCTTTGAAGATCTACATTAGGTGCATCAATATATATACTTCTATTTTCATTAAGATCTATACGGTGAATTAACATGAATCCTCAAAGTGACTTATGTACCACACGCGTACGCTGGATATCTTATGAAAAAGAGTTAATTCTCTCAACAAAGGATAGGTGCACGAGTTAAATTAACCCTTAAATGATGAAATGCCTAGATAATCACGTGGTTACGCATGACGTCATTAGGTTTCATTCCGACACCACCAAGTGTGACGTAAACATTGCAACTGAGACCTGATTGGCTAGATTGGTGGCTTAATAATCTTACAGCTTAGTCAACACCTAACACCCTTTTATCTGCCTGGCATATCAACGGTCAGAATTTGAACCCGTGAAGCTTATCTGAATGAAATATATTCACCAAGTGTTTTGAATGGTAATACATAATATCTACATGTATGAAATGCTATAATAGACTGGATGTGAAACAGTGATTTGGGCAATGAAACAATATTAGCCCTCCCAATGGGATAGGATAAGCCGTCTGCTCTTTCCACATTCGCAAATCCATGGGGAAAAGAATTATTTTGCTAAATCTGTATGTCAATACCTAATAATGACCATTACTTGTAACGGTAGAGGGCTTGATACCATTTCCAGATTTTGAAATGTTCCTCTAAAATAACCTTAAGCTTAGGTTAAGGGTTTATTAACGACATATATTCATACTGTGCCATTACCTAGGGTAATGGATATCTTCCTCTCTTATGACATGGACCTTATAATCATTATTACATTTAACATAACATTATAACCATATAACATACACTGTATAGGCCTATCCTCTTAACCCGTAAACTTTTCAGGGTTAGATTCAGGCAGTATTTTATATATTTAAAAGCACTGTTTTATATCGACTTCTTTGGGAAGTACCCGGTGTAAAAAAGTAGCGTAATAACTGTATATGCTAAAATATGTTTTTTTTTCTAATACTTTGGAGATTATTTGAATATTTGGAGAATTTATGGATACATGGCACATGTATTGCCAAAATTTCATTTGCCACATCATTTATCATCTTAAACTCGCCAAAACGTTTATCACATGAAAAATTCAAAAAGCTTTTTAAAAAGTCAAACGGCAATGCATTAAAACCATCTCATTTTTCTCATCCTTATTTCAGCCAAGTTAAAAAAATATAAGAGTGTTTCAAAAAGGCCAGTTGCCGTAGAAGAACCACAAAAGCCATCTGTTTTATTGCCTAATGTTGAGCCAAGCAGTACCTCTGACGGTGAGTGTAAGCTTCTATTTTCTCTGGGCGCAGCCTCGGTCGAATTTACTTTTCTGGGGCCTGCAAAACGACATAACGGCAAGTGAAGAACAACGTTAACAGAGATATCGTATGGTCTGTCTTGGGCGTATTGTGAAAATGACAAAAAAGGTACATTCAGTATATTTATTGTGATACTTATCATTATATAGCTATATATTACCTTGTCGCTTATATGACATAAACGGATCCCTACTGTTTCAGAAACATACCGACCTATCAAAACGTATCGTCCCAAGTTTGAGTGTGTTCCCGACTGCAAGCTACCGGAATGCTTCTGTCCGTATTCGGGTATTCCCGGCAACATACCGCCAGAGGAAGTCCCGCAGTTCGTCTACATCTCGTTTGATGATTGGATAAATGACTACGCTGCTATGATGAAGTATTACAGGTAGGCAAAACACCTAAAATTGAATGAATTATTTCTTCCGAGTTTACCAAATGAATGGCGTTACAGAGAGAATGTCATATAAAAAACCGTAGCAGCAGACTCTTATTTCTGTTGAATGAGATATACAAGAATAATCCTCACAACGGCTTCCAAATGAAATGATATTACAAATAAATCCTGATTCTATTTGACTCTTTCGATAACATTCATATTCTGCATAAAATGTAAACGTGTTTTTCGTCGTTTTAAGTCTTTTATAAATTTCCCATGGGAAATATGCATCGCCATTGTGAGATATATGATACTTTTTAATATTATTTTAAGGCCACACTTTTTTATTTTTATGGATGACATCCTCTGGGTACCCCAAAATCGGTGCGAGAGGGCGAAAAAAA